TGTGGATCTCCATGGGCTGCAGCAGGACAGCCTGCCTCACCATGATCTTCTCCACGGGCTGCAGGGAAATCTCTGCTCCAGTGCCTGGAGCACCTCCTCCTTCTCCTTCTTCACTGACCTTGGTGTCTGCAGAGTTGTTCCTCTCACAGATTCTCACTCCTTTCTCTGGCTGTATTTCGGCAGAGTATTTTCACCCCTCTTAAATATGTTATCATCACAGAAGCACTATCACTGTCGCTGATGAGTTTGGCCTCGGCCAGCAGAGAGTCCATCTTGGAGTTGGTGGCACTGGCTCTATCAGACATAGGGGAAGCTTCTGGCAGCTTCTCACAGAAGCCACCCCTGTAGCATCTCCCCCACCCCCCCAAAATCTTGCCACACAAACCCAATACACTTATTTTCATTGTTTTGGTCAATATTTGACATTATACAAATAATCTTGGTAGTCACTCAGAAGACAACTTGAGACTTGTCAAAGTCAAGTTATTAGAGCCTTGTCGTCTTCTGAAACTTAGAGATCAATGGGTGTCTCAAAATGAGCACCCAGAAATGTCAAATCTTCAGCAACTCTTGTATATCTAATGCATAGCTTGCATTACTCCAGGGAGGAATAAATACAGATTGTACAAAGAAAAGTTACAGTGGTCATGAATTAAGCCTTCAAGACATTCTGGACTGTCTATACAGGAATAAAAGACAGTGGAAGTCAAACTGGGCACTAAACTGTTCTGCAAGAACAGTTCAGAAACAAACCGTGGTTTTCAAGGATGAAGAAATTAAGAACAACAAAGCTGACCCAGAAATGAAACTGAGAGCAGCATCTGGATGACAATGGTCTTGCTGCATTTCCTCATCAAAAAGCAAATATTTTATTGTTAAGGGCTTTCTACATCTCCAAGCTTACAGAACAGATGTGTCAAATGAAAACAAGAGAAAAACTCAGTGGCTAAATATAGCAGATCTTACAGAAGGCAGGATTTCACTTTTTATTTCAAAATCACTCTCCAAGGTGCAATTTATCACAATTAGCTCAATGATCTCATGTATGACACAAAAGAACAAAAACAATGAGACTGAAATATATTAAACAAACAGCACTGGAAAATAATGAAAATGAAAATGAGCATTTCCTTTTAGAGGCCAGGAGGTAATCAGCACTAAAATCACTGCTGGAGTCTATTCTTTTTAGCTGAATGTCACCTAAGAAATGTTCAGCTGTGGAGAAGCCTTCAAGAGAATTTCCTTTCATTCCCACCTCTTTCTCCAGAGCACGAAAGTGATGGTTGTGCATCTTTCAACCAGCTGGCCAAGGCAAAAGTTTCAGGTCTTCTGGAGAATACTGAAGGAAGGAAAGTTCTTCTTAGAAGCTGCATTTTCTTGATGGCTATAAGCTGGTCTGATCTTTCTGATTCTGAAGATCAGAATTACAATTACCTTCATATCAATGTGTTCAATGGGGCATCTAAAGTAGAATGATACAAAAGATACTAATTCTTATATTGAAAACCTTACAGGAAAATAATTGGTGTTTTCACAGTGCAACATCTTCCCAAAATGTTTTCCCATTTGAACTTTGGTCTGAGCTGCAGCCAAAAAATATCAACACATTATTTTACTTCACAAGGCCTTTGAACAACCTTAAGGACTATGTGACTCCTTTAATGTGTTTTCCACAGTGCAATGTATTTTGGAAACTTGTTAATACGAATTATAGCCTTTAAGATCTACATAGATTGATCAAGTTATCACAAATATACCATTTTTTTACCAAAAGGGGTCTTCTTAGGAACAAAGATCAACTGTTTATGCTGTTGGTCAAAACTCTTCACGTTTGGCAAAGTCAGTCACTGTCCTTTTATCTTCTCCTTTTATAAGCACCTCCGTGCAGTCAGTGCTAGGGCATTCAAAAGACCAACAACAACAAAAGCACAACAGAAATAAAAATGAAGGGAGGCACGCTTTCAAATAAGGCTCTTTACATGCTGCCTTTCACTCTGGTTTTGCCTAATATCGCACAGAGATCTCATTAGCGATGCACTACCATAATATTTCGCCTCCATGAAACAGTAACACTGTCTGGGTATTTGTGCAGCTTTCCTATCCATACTATCAGGAGTTCAAAGATTTTGCTCTCTGAGCAAATGTTTGCAGGACGCACAGAGAGTCTTCATTAACTTCCTCTCTGCAATGCTCCATCCTAATTTCAAATCAGCTGCAGCCCTCTCCCACCTGCTCATTCCTATCCATGTTTTTTTGCCAAAATGAGAGAAAATGCATATACAATTTAAAATGAGCTTTTAAACAATTTCCTTCTTTAAAATTGCCAGACTGTAAACTGCTCAGTTGTACATGAGATGTTCAGGAACTCAAACTTGTTTGTATTTGCTTTGCATCTGTATTTCTCCAGGATTAGCTTGGCTCAGCCTTGCAACAGCTTTCCCAGCAGTGTCACCCATCCCTGGCCACCCCCCCACGAGTCATTCCCCCGAGAATTCCTAGAAATGAGTTGTTCTTCCTTGTTGGCTTCCATCAGTAAACACTCATTTATATGCTGTCCAAACATTTCAAGTATTTTCTCCATATTTTGGACAAGACAGCAAAAGTCCTTTTTACTTCAAAATGTGCTGTCAGAAGCCGTCTCACTCTGTCAAAATGTGTGGCATAGGTGAAAGAGGTGTTAACCACGTTTGGGGATTATGGGGGTTTTTTTCTAAAATACAAATGCTTATCAGCACTCTTCTCAAGTTCAGAGATGGTCGCTGCTCGTACTTTGTAATTCTGTGCCTGTAGGAAGTACACATCCTAGAGCTTGTATCCATCCTGCAGAACTGTGAGCAGAATTTGGTTATTAAAATGTACTGGCTACCAACAAGCTTAGGTTTTATTGAATTTTTAAATATTTCAGGCTACCAGATAATCAAATAGCAGCATCTCTGTTAAGAATGATATTAATAAAGAACACAAAGAGTATAAGGCATGGTTGGCAGGCATTGGGTGTATTTTGTGAAGAAATCGAAAAATAATTTAAAATATATGCTTTAAGTAAGGCAAAACTTTCAGTCTGGCAGACAGAAGGAAATCTTTTTTAAGAAGATACGGGCACCTTGTCCTAGGGACACACTTAATGCCAGAAAATGACCGATGGGAGACCAATGCAAGATGTTATTTTTAAATACAATTCAGAGAAACATTTTAATCACTTCTTCAAATTTCCACCAGCATCTTTTTTTCTGCAGACACTTGCATTTCTTTATTGCACCCCAAGCTGCAGAACATGCTTTTGATGCTTAACTCTCTGCAATTAGAAGAAAACACAAAGAATTGACGGCTTTGATTCTCCTTTAAACGTTCCTCAGTTCAGCCCAGAATTATTCTCTTACAGTCTAAAGACATATGGCTGTAATCAGGATCACTCTTTGAAATGCCATTTGCTTGGATTTCATTTCACTGATAACCAGTCAGGAGGTCTATGGAGTTGTTTAATTTACATTTGTGGACACTAAAATTTGTCACATAGCTTCCAGTGAAGAGTAAAATTCAGTGATGGGGAAGCCAGCCTGCACATCTAGCTTTACGTCTGTGACAGATGTCTTGCACGATCTTAAGAAACAGCATTCCAGCTTTCCCAGTGAAGTCAACAGGCTTTGCTCCAGGTCCTATGGTGAAATCCATTTCTACTTCTAAGACAGACCTTGGCTGAGATACCATGGATAGGAAGGATCACCACCAGTCCACTCTCTCCTCCTCAGTTTGCAAATGATTCTTCTGGTCCACCGCAGTTTTGTTCTTTTCCAAATCATCCCTGTCTCTCCAGGTAAAGCTACATCACAGTCATCACTGTGATCAAAGCTTGTGCAGATACAGACAACCTCCTGATCAGATAACAGCCAGCTCATTTTTGGTCCCAGCAGGATGAAGCTCAGAAACACCAGACACCTACTTCCTCAAACAAGCTATTTGATAATACTGAACTCAGTGCTGCTCTGGCTACAACGCTTGCAGCACATGAGGAATTAAAAGTTTGTGTGGCTTTAGGCACTCACTGCAGCTCAAGTAGTTCCTCAGGTGGAAAAAGTCTCTCTCTCCGCAACAGCCATCCCTCAGAAACCCCAAAACAGACAGCAACTGAAGCTCAGAACCTCTCTTTCACTGTCTTCACCAAATGCCTTGCAGACTGAATTTGTTAAAAGTCTTGTTCATACCTCAGAGAGAGGAAACCTCTCCTCCTTTCATCCACCCACCTCTAAACACCACAGCCCAACTACATATTTTAAGATTCTTCCTGTTCTAATTGATTTTGGTACGTGGCATTTCCAAACGATTGAGTAAATAACACTAACAGAATACACATACATCAGTCTCAGTGCCTTTCAAGAAAGGACTAGACACATAAATTTTCAGTAGTTTTATTGAAAAATGCCTCTTTCATTTCAGAAATAAATAATATAAGGCAGTGAAATTCACAATTTGCAGTTAAAATATAAAAGCAGCAATTCTATATCCATAGTCTTGCAAACAATTTCCAACTGCTTTTGATAACTAAGAAACATTGTATTCTGGAAAAAAAAAATCCATACTAAATATACAACATAAACATGCAAATCCATCTTTGCAGGATTGACTGCAATTTGGCATAAATGTTACTGTGTCTACAAACAAGGAGATTTCAGGTATTATTAAACTGTATCCAGTTGATACAAGGACTTCAGCTACTTAATGTTTGTGGTGTTTAAAGGAGATGTATAAGAGCAGTATATGCTCTGAAAAGTGTAACTAAGAATAGAAGAAAATGACAATGATATTGGAAGGAGAGGGAATTTTTTGTTTCTTTGTTTTTTAACTAGATAATGCTGACCTGTGATCTGACTGAACTGCAAAAGTGCATTTGAAAAAGAAGAAAAATGTAGCGCTAAAGCAGACAGTCCTTAGAAAATTTGCAGCAGCTCTGTGGTTGTTTTTGTTTTGGTTTTTTGGTTTTCTTTTTTTACTTACTTGTTTTTACATTATTTTAATGAAAAGGCAGCACTGGGATAACTGGATGCACATATTAACCTGTACGCAGCCACTGTAAGCAAAAATATTTTACAAGCATTTCCAGAGCAACATGAAGTCTCTAGGTACACACATTGCTATCCCCACATAGGCAAGATACAAAACAGGGGTGTGTCTGATATGAAGAGACCAGAAAGCTATTTTGCAAAAGAAACAATGCACTCTCCCTGCATGTATCTGCCAATGCAAGTATAGCAAAACCCAAAAACCACCAACCGAAAAAACCAAAACAAGACACACATCTTTTATGGCATTGTTTTTGCTTTTCTTGACAGCGATCTTTTCCAGCGCATGTGCTCAGGGTATTCTGGTGAATGCATTTCGACTCCATAGTCCTCATACTCGTCCTCTCTCCTTTCTGCCTCCATAGGTACTACAAAGGGTTCACCTTCAGGTTGATAGGGTCCACTTTCAGGCACGTATGGCTCTGGTTGAAAATAGTTGTCCGATTGAACATAATAGTTATCGCATGTCTTTGAATCCACAAACACAATGAAAATTAATTTGTCTACATATTGTTAGACCAATCTTATTTCCATATAATAAATACATAAATTAGTAGTTTTTGGGGGGTATTTTTCAGTTTTGTTCATGAATACGATTTGGCAGTAAAATAATAAAAAGTTTAAAATTAATTTTGAAAAACTTTGTATTTATAACACACAAAACACTGCAGAAAGAGTCTTAAATTATGCAAGGGACCAAATATTGTAAAAGAAAAATTAAAAAAAAAACCAAAGCAAATCAAATAAAAATATTATTTTACAACTACTTCAGTAAATCCAACCACTGGACTTTATTTTAGACTGCGTAATTAATAGAAGACATGGAGCAGGTAAAATGAACAGGTGGGTTTGGCATATGCTAATTTTCTCTGAGAATGGGAAAGTAAGTGTAGACAGAACTATCACCAGCGGCAATATACAGTACATGTCACTTTCTGGTGCTGTTCCTCGTAACAAACCGAGTTACAGCTGGTGCTGCAGGAACACCAAAAACTACAGCAAAACAGAAGAAAAATAATTATAAAACTTTGGTATTTATAACTGCAGTTACAGAATCCAACAAGATTACATATAAAAAAAGGCACATGCCCCGATTCAGATATGTCGGTAACGAAAAACAGACAGGGAGGTTTCATAAGTTGTCAAAGATGTTATTCCGGCACGTAGCAAGCAGCAGCAGGCTTTTACGCAAAAGCATCACGTAGAGTTGTTAACAGATTTTAGTGGATACGGTCCCATACAAATCATTTACAAGCCACAATTAGTTTACTATTTACATAAGTCATTTCTCATTTACCAGGTTAAATCTGTCTCTTCTAATGGCATTACCTTTGCTGGTTAGTAGTTTTATCAGCCTCCTTCGCCACTGAGGCTTTCGGTGGTCTGGGTCTTTTTTTAGAAAAGGAAGACTGTCTATTTTATTATTGAAATGCAACAGGCTTAAGGAATTGACTGTCCTCTGTCTCATTCATGAGCTGTGTTAGTAAAAGGAATCTCCCCATTCTATGAGGCCAACATGGTTCAAAAACCACATCCGTGGTGAAATATCCATACGGACTCATTTTCTAATAAGCACGTGCGCAAACATCTCAGAAACAGGATTTTCATGTATTCAAACTGTAAGCAGCACTGGCGACTTAGAAAATGTGTTAGCCGAAACCTGAAACAGGTCAAAGATGATGTTAGTCTTTTAAAAAGTCCATCTGATGTGCAAAAATATACTTTCATCCAACTAAATACATAACAGTTAAGTCATAGGCATATATTTATATATGTATACATAGCTGCTTACTAGAAAGGAGAACACTGCTGAATCACAGGTACAATTTTCTTTCTTTTTCAATTCAATCAGACTTTTGTGCGAGATCCGCACAACCACGTGGCTTTTTAACCAGCAGCACTGAGTCTGCAAGCGTGTACATATATATATATATAGCTTTTCTCTTTTTTTCCCTTTTCATGGGTACATGCACAATACACTAACAGCAAACCATATCCAATAGTAGTATCACATACACTAATTTTGAGATGTTGCAATGCATACATATTAATTTGTTAACAATACTGTGGTCCTGCAGGATCCCCATGCTAAAATATATTAGAATCTTTCCAGTAAGAAATTGGTGGCCGCTGTGACACTTTATTTTGATTCCAGAAGCAGCCTACTGTTTTGAGCTACGTCACAGAGTGCGAGGCTGGTATGACCCAGGGCTAATCAGAGACTCCATGGCGTTTAACTCAGTAGAAATTATTGGACCGTGGTGTTTTTCAGTTGTCTGCACTGTATCACTGATTTCCTTTGTGGAGAATTTTTATTTCATTTATCAATTTTGTATAAATAGTCCTGACTTTGCTCAAAAAGAGACACACGGAAATTGCCAACCACAGCATTCTTTTTATTTTTCAAGAGAAACATGGAGAATTCAACCTTGTTCTGAAGACAATTGGAAAGGGTGGGGATGGAGGGGAAAAAAGAAGAAGAAGAAAATGGTCACTTAAATCCTATGAGTAACATTGTCAACTACTATGTTTTAAAAAATAAAAAAAGATTAAAATATTTAGTTACTACTTCCTATTTAAAGCAAACCACACTTAACACCAAGTAAATCTGCATCAAAGTCCAAATGATTGCACATTACAATGAGGCAGGCCTGCTCATTGCAGCCATTTCCTTCTGACTTGGCATGTCCAGGCTAGCAGGACTGTCTCATGTAAAGCAGCTCAGTATGAACAGCCACATCTGTGAAGGCTATTAAACGCAAGTTAAGTTGTTCATAACCTACCTGGGAATCCTTGGCCATTGTAAGGGATGCTAGCACACTGGGATGAATCACAATATCCTGGTGGCCCTGGGGGACCTCGAATACCCGCATTTCCAGGACGACCTGGCGGCCCTGGTGGTCCTCGTGATCCTGTGGAGCCTGGTGGACCAGTTCTAGATTCTCCTTGTGGACCTAATTTTAGAATTAAAAGGTTGTGGGGTTGTTTTCTTTAAGAGCCAGCTTGATAAAATAGCTAACATTACTGCTGTCTAGACTATACAGTCTAGGCTATGTCTTTGGTGAGAAAACACTCGCATTTTGTTGCTATATGGGGGTCAACAGAAAGAAAAACAACAGAAAACTAGAAATGGGACTCATCATTACTTGCTTCCCTGTGTGTGGCTTACTTAAGGATTTATTCACAGAAACTGATTTAGTAAGGTTTGAGCCAAGTACAAAACATGAATGAATTCTCTGGTTTATTTCCCCTCCATGTAAGATACAAAGATCTCAAGGGAAACTACTAGATTAGACGAGCACACTGGATTTCAATTAAAATACAGGAGTACATTAATTCTGCTACGCTGTAGCCGCAGGACAGATGAGGTAATGTTTTTTTTGGAACTGCTCTTATTATGGTTAGCAGAAAAGTAAAGCTTCAAATAACTGAGGCTACAATTTGCTGCAAGAGTCTTCTGGGTCCTGTAATGAAAAACCATGTTTAGCCTAGTAAACTACAAGCAGAAACAAATGATGCAGCTGATTTCTGCCAAGGCATCAGTGAACAAAATTGCATTATATAAAGAGCAAAACCAACGGTCAAATCATCTGACTCTATCATCTGGTAACTCTGCATATTGAAGTTTTTTGTAGTCTGGGGCCAATTTGTAGTTCAGCAATCACAAGTGAAAAATGGAACTAGAGACTGCAAAAGTATCATCACATAAAACTTATGAAAACGTCTGTCAAATATTTGGACAGTGTATTTTCATTAAAAACATTTTCACACAAGCAAGCATGCCAAATGAGTAAATATACGATAAATACCTACTAGCCACATTCAAAAATCTTTCTAAATTGCCCTTTCTTGCAGGGGTTTCCATTGAACTCTAATTTATATCAAAAACATGAAGTGGACAGAGTAAAGCATTTTCATTCACCACATGTAGTCTAGTTCCCTGTGAAGAAATGTTGTATTTTTCTCCTACTTTTCTGTAATCTGATAAAACAAAAAATATTTACCAGGTGGTCCCGGCAAACCTCGTGGTCCTTGAGATCCAGTTCCTCTTTCACCTTTCTCTCCAGGCATTCCTACAGAAGAAATTAAAAAAAAAAACAAAAAACAAAACAGCAATGAAAACCAAAGGAAGGAAACCACATATATTTCTTCATGCTCTCTAATTGATATTAATATTTAGCTCCCATTAATTAATGTAACAAATTGGGTCAAACCTCACTTTCTACAGATGTCCAAACGTGCTTTTGGGAAAATAATTTGGATATAAATACACTAACCTAAAAATAAAGTAGGCTGCAGAGGTAATTTATTGTGAATAAACTTTCTCAAACCTGGAAAAGTCTTTGAGATACTTAAAACACCACAGAACCTTCTTATTTTAAACTACAAACAGGGAGGTATTTTCAAGCTTGCATACTTCTGCTATAGGATGCTTCACACTTGCTTAGAAACAGTTATGATGAAATAAGTTTAAGAGCAGAATTCAGAAATTCATTCTTCCTTGATTTTTTCCCAGTCTTTTTTAAATATTATACTACAATATATGCTAGAAAATGCAGCACTGAGCCTATGGAATAAGTCAAGGCCACAACATAGTACAGTACAGACACTCCATGCCATTGCAGTGATCCAAGGTAGCCACGAAATATGTTTACCCATACGCTCAAACTCAGTTCAGGATTGCTTCCCTCTCTCAGAGTACTGCAAAGACCCAAGGATGTAGATCTAATTCTTTCAGCTCCTACTTTTTTTTTGGTTTTGGTAATGACTCATTTTCTCTCTTAATCAGAGTTCTGTACTACAGAGTTGTGTTACTCCAAACAGCCTTTCAAGATGTAGCTGTTTAGTGCCAGAAGAGTTCTGAGTACATTCACTTTTCTGGGATATCCTGTGGAAGTCTGAGACAGCAGCCAAAATGTTATACCAACTTTTTGTTTCTTGAAACATGAGCATGGGAGAGACTGAGGAAAGCACTGATGTAATTAACCTTGTCCTCCAGAACATCAGTGTCCCTCCAGCAATCCAACTGACCTAACAGGCTACTTCTAGGAGTGGGCTTCCTAGTTTGACACGGTAAAGGGATCAGACTGCCTTTCTGGCAGCCTCTGCACTATGTCCACTGTGAAATACACAGCTGCCTTGGAATTTACTCACCTCTTTCACCGGGCGGTCCTTGGACCCCAGGAGGTCCTGGGAATCCTGGTCTTCCTCCAGGTCCAGGCTCTCCTCTCGTCCCAGCAGCTCCTGGGGGACCAGGTGGGCCTGGTGGGCCTGGCTGGTTACGGTTTGAGTAATAATCATTGGGGATTTGATTCAACATTTGATTGAATCGGCTCATTTGACCTTCAAAACGAAAGAAAAATGGTTCAATAAACCATGTGAAATGAGTGAAAGTCTTTTATCAGAGTGCGAATGAATAACAAATTATCTCTCTTCATTAAATCCTATCCTTGTTCCCATTCAATAAATTAGTAATTAAATAGCACAGATGAATTGGGAAGACTTAACATGAATGTCTGATAAAAAGGCTGAATGTAAACAGAGGAGGGAGGGAAGAAAGGTAAAGGGGATTCTGGCAGCCAATAACATTAACAAAAATTAATTTTAAAGCAACTGAAGTCACAAAATAAGCATTTGTTTACAATACTCTTGCTCTCAGAGTTCTAATTAGAGGTTATTTCTACTCTGAAGAACAGAAAGGACTTGTTAAACTTCCAGTGGTGGAGCATCACATTTCTATGTACCTTCAGAGCTCTGAAGCTACCACACAGTACGAATTATTCATGTGTAGAGCTAGCAGGACACTACTGTTGAAGTCTTAAACCTGCAGGATGCATAGGCTTGTACCTATCTACCTTCTGCATACAGGAAAATTTCATTTCCAAGGAAAGGTGTCTGGACAAAAGCAACAGCACTGTGAAACTATGCAGAAAAGAGCCCTTAACTGGGAGCCACATCTAGCCCTACCTGATAAGTGTAATGTGCCAGTCCTAGCACACCTTTGAAGAGGTGAGCTGACTATGAAAAAAATAAGGCAGGGACATTCAAAAAAGAGACGCTAAAAGATCTCAGATTACACATCCTTATTTATAAGCCTAATGCATTCATGAATTCACTTTCCTTCCTCTGTGATGGCTCACTAATAGACATCTTTCAAACAGCTGCCATCACAGACATTTTAAAGGGCATACTGTCCTCCTCCCCAAGCATTCCTAATGATCCAAAGGGTGTATCTGTTTACCTCAATCAGCACTTACTCTTGTTGCAGAAACAATATTAAGAACAAATTATAGGCACATTGGTGTCTGTCCTCCTCGGCAGGTCTACTGATGGCAAAAAAACTGCCTCAGGGACAGAGAGAAAAAGCCTCTGTAGAGAACACTTTCACGGGCTGCAGAGCTGCACTGTGTGGCAGTAGAGGACTGAAATTCAATTTGGAGTCCTTATCCAAACAAAAATAATTTTTACTTGCATAGCACGGCTGATTCTGTGCACAGTATTTATCCAACACTCATCTGTCTTTTCCTGCTAGCAAAGTACCTGCAGTGAACATCCTTTTTCTCACCAATTCCCTCCTCCTGAAGGTAAGACATGTTTAATGAAAAAATGTATACTGATTTTATGACAAAGATAAGGTACTTATGGACCAGATTGACAAACAGAAAGTCACCTTCCTTTGGTACAGAGTATTAGATTTGCACGTGTATTTCAGAAGGTCACAGATTAGTTCATGATCAAGCTAGCCATTTGGATCTGGTAAAAATTTAGTGCTACATTTTTTTCCACCAACTCATTGGCATTGGACAGCTATCAGATCACTCAAGCTCTTCTTTTCTATTTTAACAAAGTAAGTAGTAAATTACTAGTATGCGAAACAAAACAAGCAACACTTCACCATTTATCAGTTGTTCACAAACTTGTCTTGCAACTGCTCGCATCATGTTCTGAGAAGCAATGTCACCCTAAATAATCAAAACCAAAACATGTGTTTTATTAGAAAGTGTTTGTGCTTTTAAAGACATAGTGTTTAACTGAAAAATCTGAGAAAAACTGACTCTAAAGCAGACTTACCCTGTCACCTTTTTCCCCCTTCATTCCTGGTGTACCCTAAAATAAATACAGTAAAAATAAAAGAGCTGAAGGATTATGTTATTCCACCCCACCTACAGGTCTGAGACATGCAATTTCAGAAAACCTTTTAACTCCTTCAAGAAGTCAGACCTGGTCCTCCTTGAACTTTAAATTTCAGAGGCACTAAAGAGGGTGACAGAAAAGACTGGACAAGCAGTGATCTTTTGTGTATAATCGCAGCGACAGACACAGAAGAAAAAAATCTGAAGGAAAAATTCAAACTAGGGCCACAGAAATGGATATATTCTGACACTGGGAGCATACTGGCAATTTGAAAGTTGAATTTCTAGCATCACATTTCTGTAAATGGTCAATAGTCTTGGGTGAATTATATATGACTGTTTAAGTCTTAAGCCAACTCATCATTAAAGAAGGTAAACTATGAAGAATAACACATCTAGGAAGGGTAGCTGTCTCCTTGAACCCACAAGAAACAGACCTTTTCTTAAGCGAAAAAGCGCTATGCAGAGATGACACATAAGATGGAGAGAGAAGTCATTAAGTGCTCATTCTATTTATAATGACAGCTTCCCTGCTAATTCTCAACTATTTAAAGTCTTACAACAGTCTCATAGCAGCAATTTCTATTTGCCTTTGAATATTCTAGTGGTTGTTGTGGGTTTTTTGGTTGTCAGGAATACTATGTGCGAAGTCAACGAGAAGGACTGATGCTAATTTTTATACATGTATGTATCTATAGCTGGAAAAACATCAGGTATACTGTAAAGATGTTTTTAAATGCTGAACTGCAGATATGCATGTGCAATCTACTTTGCAACCAAAATTTTGTGTGCGCCCCTCTCATACATTTTGAGATTTTAGCCTTACGTTTGCATTCCACTGCTAGTAAAGAAAAGCATCAAGAGAGAGCACATCATCCTTTCCACAGAAAATGTAATTACAATGCTTGGTGTGATGGATTTTTAAAGATTTTCAAATAGGCAGCAATGATCTCAGAAGGATGTTTATAACTTGCTTTGGTCTATTTGACATGATCTTGGCCACATGAAAAATTGCAGATGCCCATTTAAAATAAGTAGAAAATTAGATTTTAGCCACTAGGATGCCCTCTGAAAAATCTACAAACCTGCAAAGTGTTTTAAAACTATTATTTTAATTTTGACATCAAAACACAAAAGAAAAAAAAGAAATCAAGACTGCATTTACTGCAAGACCTGCTTAGGAAGTCTGTTATGAACAGACCTTCCAATGCTCTTGAATACTCACTGTGACAAATGCCACGAGTGCCAAATTCCAGGGCATTAGAAACAAAACTTTGGCCAAAAAGTTTGGCTCTTGAAGTGGCCAGTCTGAGTTTTACAAGTGACTTTAGTGTTAGGCCACAGCTCATTCCTTGAAAAAAATCTGTTGTAAACTCACCTGCCAGAATGCGTCCAAAGAGCACAGGAGCTTCATTAGTTAAGCAAAAAGGGGCTAGCATGAGTTCAAATAGATTTTCACTCATAGACTAAATTACTACTTGGACGTAAGGCGTATTTCAAAGGTGAAAGGCCAGTTTGGCCATCTGCTCCTCTGCACAGCTCTCCACGTAGTTATACATACATCATAAGTATTACTGTTTTTTACGTCGCAGTATTTCTTTAAGGAGCCTGTTTATCACCGTTAACAAAGCAAAGGCTAAGTGTGGGCCGCGGCTGTTTTTCATAACATTCCTACAGTACCCGCAATTAATTTCAACAACATGAGACAACAAATCTGTCCACTGAGGTCACAGCGGATACAATTCAAATGCAGCAGCACTGTTTCATAGACTTCCTCCAAGGTTTTGGGCAAACAAATTCCCATGGGGTGTGTCAGGGTGTGAAGTTGCTATTCTCTCTGAGCTGTTCTGCAGCAGTGTTGTATACACCTACCCCATGACATGCCACAGAAAATATGAGGCAGCTCATCCATCAGTGAGTTACTGTCCATCAGTGTACATCCATCAGTGCCATACGGTACATTTGCATCATGCATAACAGACGGTTCACGCAAAATTAATCATACAGACTCAAAAGAAAGATTTAGAATGGCCACACCATAAATCTGCAACTGGAATAAATTATGCCACCGATAAGACAGTTACTAATATGTACACAATATACCCATCGAATCAATGAAAATTCTTTCCCTTCTGTCCTTCACTCTTTCTTCTGTATCTTTTACTACTCTGTGAAGTCCACAGGGAAAAAGTCTGCCTTTTAGTTTTAACTTAGCACAGCCCCATGCTGAAGCAGACCATGGACTTGTAAATGCCATAACAACATAAATAAACTGTAACAATTAAAACCATGAGGAAAATATGACGTATCTATCTGTCATTGTCCAATAATTAACATTGGGGTAAATACTGATGTACTGAAGCTCTAAAAGAGATGTAATATGGCTCTCAATTCAACAGACATTAACATCTCAGTCATAAACTGTCACATCTGTCTGAAATATCCATTGAATAGAATTGCAGGTTTTTCACTTGCACTAGTCTATAACATGAAAACATGGGGGAACAAACACCAACAAATAATTTAGTGCTTCTCTTTCTGTTTGAAACTTGGCAACTTTTTGCTATTTTCTGAAAGCATATTCATTTTAAATTATCTGCTGACTACATATTTATAATACTTGCTCATTCTAATTTTCATTGTTTCTAAGGCTTTCATGGTACACCCTTGTATTGTTTTGACCAGAAGCAAATCATGCAGCATGTTGTCTTGTTTATTCACTAGGTAAGTGCAAGCATTACAAATCAGATTTCTGGTCTACTGTCCCAGTTGTATTTTAATAATTACTTAAAATGCCCTGTTCCAATTAATTCACATGCTAGTGCATTCACACACCAGAACTTTGCACAGAAAAGAAAAAAAAAGAAGCAAACTTAAAATGTTCAAATCCTATATACTGTTTCTGGAAATGGTTTTGCTGACTGGTTAAGAAAAGCTCTTCAGGCTGTATTCAGCCACAAGCAATGTTGGTAGGACCGGAAGGTTCTCTGGTAACAAAAGCACAACTTTGCTCCAAAGTATTGCCAACAAAGGTTCCCCAGCCAGAAAATTGCTAAGGCCATTCCTTCATTATAAATGATACATAGTCAACTTTACAATTCATTGAAATCAAATAAGCCTCATTCTTCAGCTTGTGACCTTGCAAAGATACAGTGATTTAGCCTTGTGACTGGAAATGTGTAGGCTATTCCTAACTAATCTTAAAATTTGAAGATTAGAGGCTGACTGGCTATGTTAACAACAAAGTCTCATCTTCCACCTGGATATTTTAGAAGCATGATTTCCAAAACGTAATTACAACTGCAATTACTGAGTTGCTATTTGCGTCTTCCACCCACTTGGTTATATTCTTCTTAAATTTCAATTTATTTTCTTTTAATAGAGAAAACCGTGCAATTTAGTCAACTGCTTGCCAGCATTTGGAGAAGCAGCAGCTGCTGCTGACATTCTGTTTTGTTGATATCCTGCAATGAGGGAGTTACTTGGGGTCAGTGTGAGGAAAAGTTAGTTTGTGCTGCATGTGGGATTTTTCTGAGCTGTGGGATGAAGGCTGGGGCTGCAGCAAAATTCTACAGCTGAAGGAGGACAAAACAAAGGAAGTTTTGCTATTTTTACTTTAAAAGATAATGCGCTCAATTGTTTTCCCCAAAAGAATGTTTGCTCCCCACAAGAACCACCAGTTCTCTGCTCCCAAAGCGGCGTCTTTTTGAGACCTCATCTAGGATGTCTGCATAGATGGCATCAGAGAATGGAAAACACTTGGAAAACTGCATTTCACTCACAACACACATCTCCCTTCTGTGCTTGGAATTACCCTCTGAAGGTTTTCACAGGCTGCTTGGTCCTGGAGGCATCAGTCTAACAGCATCTTATATATAAAACATAAACGCCTTTCGCTATTTCCTGGGGACCTTCTAGATCAACAAAGTCAGACCCTGTTGTCACAGTCTGTTTTATGAACAAGACACCTCCACCTTAAGACGACATAGTCTGCATACGCATCCATTACCTTTTTCACTCTCATACCTATAAAACGACAGTACTAGAACTTGTCTTCTCTGATAGTTCAAGATCTTCTATTTCCTATCACGTTTCTTAGTTTAATGACTCTTTCCTACCTTTGATGGCTGTTACCCTACATGTATGGACTACTACAAAATACTCACTCTCTGACCAGACAGAAACCAGATCTATTAGTTTCCTCTAGGATTGCCAGTGCTCAATTTTAAATAGATATACTAACTCATTTGTGTTCTTACTGTTCCTTTCTTGGTCATTTTGTCAATACACCAGAAAAAACACATTAGTTTCTCTTGGAAGTACTTATAAGCAGATTATAAAGTCAAATTTCCTATTTCCATGAAAATTCAGTTAATGTTTCAAGAGTCAACTTGTTCTAGTATAAGTACACATCGAAGTAGGGAAATGTTTACAGCCACATTTGTGGCGTGGTCTGTCTCAGCTTAGCACATTGGCAGCTTTTAGCACATCAGGAAAGAGCTCCCATTGACTGCATTGACTGGGAACGTCTTCGCAACACAAAGGCTCCTCATAATTTGCATGTAACTGTGTATCTTTTGCCTGGGATGTTCCTTGCTGTGTAGGGGTCTACCACCTGACTTGCACTGCATAGTACCAACAACACAGATTGTTCAAGTAGAATTAAAAAAGGGAAGATGTGGTCAAAAATTATTTAGTCCTTGTATCTACCAGAGGCAATGTGAAGCCTCGTTATGTTTCTCCAGGACAGGAAGTTACCAATTCAGGCAGGCCTGAACTATGATTCAGGACACTGCAAGTTGCATCTGGCCATTAGGTTGCACCTTTGGCAATTCTGATACAGGACACAAAGGGAAGTGTTGAAATTCTGTCCACCAGCAGTTAGATAAAACATCTGTGCAAGGTGCAAGCCAGTTACAAGAAAGTGCAGTAACTGGGGAAAAAAATCTATTTCTCACTGAAAGGAACTGTTAAGATTAGAGCGTAGGAGAACTTACACATGGTGCTTGGACAGGAGTTGACTGCCTTATTTTGCAAAAGCACTGAAACTGGGCTTGTACTCGAATTTCCCTATATGCATGTTATTTACCTGCAGAAGATCTCTGCTGCTAAACTGGGTCAACTATCCAGTGTCCCAGCTGAAGGAAGACTTGGATACACCTGGCAGTTTGAAGCTTACTTGGGAACAAACCACAGCACCTTGTGCCCCAGCTATATCTGTCAAGCATCTGACCTGACAGGAATATCACATTAGCAATGTATGTCTAAAGGCAGGAAAGCTTTCCTAAGACACTCAAAGTCCTCTAGCGCTATGAGAAATGGGATTTATAGGCTGGCAAATGCAGACTGAATTCAACGTGTGTACGAGAAAATGGCCCAGCTTCCAGGTATTCCTGGGAACTTCCACTTCATAACCATCAAGCTGCCCAGCCTGCAAAGCCTGGAGTCTTCCAAATTATCCAGCTCTCATACATACAATAACATTGAAACAGGATGGAAAATTCTGGCTGATTGCCAGATAATCAGGTACAAGTAATGAATGACTTCCCACTTCAATTGTTGTCTCCACCCCCGACTCAGACATAATTTCTCAGAAATCCTATAAATGAATCAATTCAAATTTTTCCTGAAACTGTTGGTAGAATGCAGCACCTCCTGCTCTTTCTTCCTATTCAGGATGCACTTTAAAGGTTTGAAAAGAACCCACAGAAACTACCCCCAAATAATTTTGAGATCACATTTTAAAAAAACCAAAACGTTTGCAAAACAGAAGTGATTATGTAATATTATTAAAGATTGTCCACCTTCAGCAGCATACTACTTCTTTACTACACACACACAAATATAAAGACCTTCCAGCCATTTTGCTGACCCATTTCTTCATGCTTACGCAGTGTAGAAATACATGTCTTGGCACGTAATAGCCTACAATCTTTTTAGTGGAAACCAGAGACCACAATTTCCAGCCTCAACTATTAAATTCAGCAAAATGACACACTGTAAAAATAAAATTGTTTGAAAAAAAGGCTTGTGGTCTTAGGTCAGCTCCACTGCGCTAACCACTGTCATAAGTGCAAGACAAGTATTCAGAGCAAGTAGAGGTCTTATATTCATCAGCAGACTGTAATTTTAAATTTGATACTATAAGTATATCATTATCTTACTGGTGTCCCACGATCTCCTGGCTTCCCGGGTTTTCCACTTGGGCCAGCAACTCCTGGAACTCCTGGGGCACCCTACAGCAGAAGACATGTAAAGTGAATTGTGGAAATCTACAACGGCCTAAGTTCTCATAAGAAATGTGTTATTGTATTGAGTGCAAGGCAATACTGAAAATGGCTCCTATCAGGTGGTTTTTATCTGTTAGGTACATATCAGGCTTGAAAATTTTCTTCAGGAAAAAAACAGTTTGTTTCTTCATGGAAATGTGTCCTTTTACAAAACACTAGAGTGTAACAGGCATTTCTGAATCTACAGACACAGAGACTGTCTACATGCTTTCGGTATCACTCAATGACAGATTCCTAAAGGAGTACAAGACAGTCTGGCCTTCCAACTTCATCCAGAAGGTCTGCGATCCATGTAGAAGTCCACAACAAGAAGTCCATAAAAATTCTAATGATACCAGATTAATGTGAACAAATAAAAGATCCGAGCTACATTATGTGAGAAAAGCTCATCTGCACACCCACAAAGGAGCACACGAAAGACAATTGTGGGGGAGCGGGGGCAGTCCAAATAATACCCTGCCCTAGCGACTCCTGTCTATATGCATATACATGGTATAAATGTGTGCTCTGTGTATGTCTGCCTACTTGGAATACATCTTCTGTCTCTCTGCTGGTAGGGCCTGGTAACATGGAGCTGCAGCCACCTGCCTATCTCGGGCTGTCTGATCCAGCATGATGTGATTTTTTCTAACAACCAGCACCTTTTCTAATATGGTCTCACAAAACACGATGAAGTAGCTTTTTAAGCAATAACTAATCCTCAGATGCTCTTGTCAGGAAAAACTTGTATTAACAGCATTTGTTTTCACCAGACTACAAGTAATAAGCTGATTGGTTTCAGTAGATCTAGCTACGCATTTAAAGATCATGCCTAAAGAACCAGGTAAACTGGTTCTTCCCTTATTTACACTGGCTGATATCAGTTTCAAAACATGTTTGTGAACACATGCTTTACACAGGTGTCCACTCACCTCATAATGAGAGTTTCCCAGCTCCATTTAGGATATTAAACAGAAAATCCATTTCATATGTGACAGAAACTGAAAAAGTTAATGTTGCACTCTCTTGGCTCAGGTCTCTTATTTCAGAGTATATCAAAGACAAAATTATATTTACCACTGGTCCTGGTGGGCCTCTGGGACCTGTGGGACCATCTTTTCCTGTGAAACCCTACTCAAAAACAAAAGCATGATTAGACAGTAACCTAAGATTGTCGCCTGATTAAAATGGCCTTTAAGATTATGTAATTGCAATACTCCTGATTACTACTAGCATATATTTTAACACCGATCCACAATGTAAGTTAGAAAAATAGCTATCACAACTAATGCTAGAGAAGACTATGAAACAGTGACCTTCAGCCTATTTAGATGTTCAGCTGCTGTTGATTAACTGAAGATGGAATGAGTCTCTCTCAACATTTTTAAGAAGGAAATTTGTTCTATCCCAGAGGAGCAAAATCTCCCTTTTTGCTGTTCTCTCACTCACAGATTAGCTGGAAAATCTGAGGAAAACTGAAGAACAACCTCCTTCTCAGATACTTCCATTGCAAGAAGAGATGTTGAGAAATCCCATTTCAAAAATCTAACACAGCGTTCACAAATTAACATTAATGTTCCACCCACCAATCCCATGGTATGTTCTTTGGCAACTGGCTATCACATGGTGGTCTGTTTTCATTTCTGGCTATCAATTTCCACTAAAGGATAACTATAAATGCATATATCAGCTATTAATTCTGACTGTAAAGGTATGTCATTGCTTCAGTCATCTCAAAGGGGATATGCCACTGTGAAGACAAAAGAGATTCACTCAGTTGATCCCATATTAGAAGAAAGGGATTGCAACAACTCCACAATGAAATACCTGGGTGCATGCCCTTCATTATGAAGACATTTCAGAATCCCCCATTGAAGTAAAAGTTTTTAGTTCCAGATAAGCAAAGGCTAAGGAGCAAACTTGACTTTCACAGTGAGAATGGTACAGACAGATTCTTTACAGACATGACATCTCCCAGACGCTGAGACAAGCAGAGTTTCATAGGGATCCCCTGCAGCAGCAACTGTGTGTAGAAGACAGTGGGATGAATACCTCAGCAGAGCTCTGCTCCATGGACACACGGCTCTACGGGTGCAGGCATCTGAGCACCTAGTCAGAAGGGTGACCAGGGAAACTTTTACAGAAATTATCTGGCTACCCTACAGCTATCTGGGGAGGTTTTCACCCCCAGGTTTTTCCAGTCCTTCCACTTTTATCTTTCTAGGTTGGATAGTGATAAAAGGACTCCTTCTGAAAAAGCATTTGAAAACAAAAAGATAGGATAAAGAAGGGAAAAAATAATAATTAAAAAACCATTATGCGGTCTTTTCAGAAAATAAACTGAGGAAACCTTACCCTTTCGCCTGGAGGTCCCACTGGTCCAGGTGGACCAGGTAAACCTGGAGTTCCCTAGAGGGAAAAGGAATGATAAACGGTATCAACAACAGAACAAAGTTCAATGCTATTCTAATCATCTAAGTATTTATGCACACATTTAAATATCTGTATTCAATGTTGCTTTTCACATTTACAAAAATAAAACAAACCTTTAGGAGAAACCATTTATTTTATATACATAATACAAAGTCTTAACTCTAACTCTACTTTTTACTTCCATTTCCTTATCAGGTCGTAATTCAACTTAAAATACAATTTGCAATACTGTTCCCATAAAACAGATATATCTGGTTTATTGCCTTTACAAGCATGACTTACATATGTCAGCTAATCCCTTAACACTCTGTAGGATCAGTAGCACTGTTGTAGGAGTTGGATATTGAATAGACTTGTATCATGTTGTCATGTTCTTCTCCTTTTTCTGCCTAATCTCACTCTAAGCTAAAATGTAGCACTGCTTTGTACAGGACATTATTACTTCCTAAATGTACATTACTAGGTTTACAAGGACTAAAAAAACAGTTAAAGAATACTAGGCCCTTGGTTCATGACTGACCTTATCTGATACACGAAACTAAATCTACAAGCACCTCCCATACAGTCTTCATATCTGCAGTAAAATCAAGGACAATATAGTAAACAAGTAATATTAATTATATCTCCACACATGCAGATCAATGACCTTAGATTATTGATTATTCAAATCTGGCTGATTACAAAAAAGATGCCTTATTTTTTATTGTCAAAACCTAATCCTAGTTTACAATAGAGAAACTTGCAAGTAAGTGAAATCTAATATTAATTTCTTCTTTCAGAAAGCATACACTTAATGTCCCAAGATCATTTGAGTTCCAAAAGTAAAAAGCAATTAGACAACATTGCTGAAGAAGGGTTCAGCAAAGGTTGTGCAACCTCTGTTTTAGGAAGACATTTAACTGCAGGTGGTCAGAAGTTGAGAGACCTTCCTGGGGAGTTATCAGTGCACTTTTCCTAATCCAATGGTCTGCCCCTGTGCATTCGCAACTATCCAGATGGATATCTGCCTTAACTCACTACAGTTGTTCTTTCACTCTTGCTGTTTTGAATGGCTTACTATTTCCTACATTTCAAACTCCTAAGTGTAAGATAATTATGTTTCCAAAACTATAGCCTATGAAGGTATGAGAAGAGCCCATGACTCCTAGTCATGTCAAAGGCAGATGTCCAGCAGCCAATCCACATCATGAAAAGTATAAAATGACATAATCTTGTCCAAAGATCGACTTACCGATCGTCCTGGTAGTCCAGGCTGGCCAGCATCACCTTTCATTCCTTGACGACCCTAGAATTTTCATAAATTATTGTTATAGAATCTGAATTATAGAATACATCAGCAAAATAACTAATTTTTGTAAATGGGCATGAAATAATTCCTGCAAGATACCTAAATTAAGGAATTCATAAGCCAACTATGCATTATTATTTATGATTGGACTAGATGATCTGAAAAGTCTTTTCCAACCTAAATGATTCTATGATTCTATGATTCTGGAATAAACCAAGACACTTATATCTCTTAACTGAACCAGTACTGATCACCTCATAAGCATCTGCAAATGCAGGATGACTTTGATTTATACTAAAAACACAGACAAACAGACATTTGGAAGGGGGACATATTTTGGTAAGGAAGTAACACAGACTTTTCAGTAAGAGAGACTGATATCAATGTCTTCGTAAGCAGGAAAGCAGGGAAGGGTTACGTGCTTTCTCCCAACCTCCCTTATCTTTCTCAGCTGCTGAATGGAGCTGTCTGCGCTCAAGAAAGGTAAAAGTTCAGTCTTTGTAAAGTATCACTGTTTCTCTCTAACTCATGGTGCAAGAGCATATAAAGAAGCAATGTAATGCCTTTCACAACTTGCTTACATTACACATATACTACAGCGCTGTAGTATAAATGCATAGTCTAAATCCACACAAGCTAAATCTGACAATATAATATTTATTTTCCACAATGGCTTGCATGATAATCCAGCACTAATAACTGTTGATGGCACAAACAATTGAACCATTTGTAAACATAGCCTGGCAATGTGAATTGCAATTAACGTGAAAAATGTAATTATATGACTCAAAAAGTGGTGCTCTAATATTGTTAACTAATGAGATGTTCCAAGAATTATTTGGTTTTGCTGGTGCTTTCATTCATCAAATGTTTTCAAACTGAATATGACAAATAATAGTATTTATTGTATTCCATATTTAAAATCACTGTGTTTGGCCTTACTTGCTGTTTGGCACCTCTAGGCCATCTTGATGAAGTTTTTCCTCCCGGTATATAACAAAAAACTGAACAGCATCTATGCTGGTTAAAAAAATCTTTCTACATTGTCCTTACAAAACAGAAGGTGTACCTAATGCTAAAGCACATTTTGTTTTCCATTTCCCAAATTACATTACAGACTGAGAAGGTAACGTGGTTTCAAATGCAAAATGAGACAGTGTGCAGTCAGACACCAATTGTATTATTTGTTTTCATGAACTTTATATTTTAATCAAAGACTTCATACAAAAAGCTCCAAATTACATTAAAATTCAAGCTATTCCTGAACAGGAAACATCAAAATCATATTCCTGCTTTTGGGGTGATTATTTATTAAAATATGGCAAAAGTAGTCTTAATACACTCTGAATATAGACAAAGGGTTACCTATGCTATCTGCTCTAAAAGCCCAAATCTGGTGAAACTTCATCAGAGTTAATAGAGTTACTCTGGCTTTGAAGGCATGTATGCGAAATCAGAAGTAGCCTCTCGCTAAAACATGAATGCTTTTGCCTGGAAAGCCCCCTAGGAAAAAAGGGCTCACTGCGTCTCTCAACTTTCAGCTACTGATTTAAGCTCAGAAAACAGAAGTTGGACACGTAATTCCATGAGAAATGTTCAGAGTAATATTGTATGCTTAATTTTCATGCACCACAGTTTGATAGTTTTGAGTCCTCAAATTTTAAGGCCTAGCAAGTCTACAGAAAAGCTGTAAGAGACAAAACGGGGTAGCACAATGTACATTACAGTGTTTAGACACTGTCCCTTCACAGACATCCCCTAAGCACATGTAACATTCAGGATAGAAAATGCTATTGTATTGGAAGAGACTTGTTTCATAATACTACTATGTTGCAGAGAAAAACAAATGTTAGGGCAAAGCTGCTACCCTCTTCCCAAGACCAATCCCATGGACAGCTCTGACTCCACACACTGTACCACCCACACTCAAAACGGCCACTCACCGGTTCTCCTGGGATTGACAGCCCGTTGGGGCCCTGTGGACCTGGCGGACCTTGAGGACCAGGAGGACCTGTCTCGCCACGAGGACCAGGTGGCCCCTTAAAACAGAAAATTAAAACAAGGTTGTAAATTACAACCCCTTCTTAGATTTGTAACTGCAAAATCCTTTGGGTTAGATACTTAGGGTAAGTCAGAAGCCTGGAGATACATTTATTACTTCAGAACAAGTGTGGAAACAGTTATCCAAGTGGCATATCCTTTCTTAAGCTATTCTGTGATTCATGTTGGCAGTCTCAGGCCAATATACGCCTTCTTGCAGTGTTAATTAGAAGTATAGCTGTCTCCTCTGTACAGAGAAAAGTACAACAATGCTGCAGAGCGTGTATTAACACCCTGACACACATACTCTAGTTTCCTGATGTGCAGTCAATGCCTTTGAGGCTATGAATATACACAGGCTGTATATATATAGTCTCAAATAAGTAGGCTGCACACAAATAACATACTGGCATATTTCCAACTAAATATTTAATCTCCATTTTAGCTCGCCATAGAACTAAGCATACAAATTTTCACACAGGTAAGCGTGTAGCAACAGTATAGATGTATTCCAGAAAGATACTTACAGATGATCCAGTCAAACCCCTTTCACCTCTGGGACCTTTAGCACCTGGGCCACCCTAAATGTAATATTTGGAAATAAAATTTATTTCATACAGGGAAAGCAAGGGTACATCATACTGGTGTGCAATATGAATCCTCTTTGTCAAATTCTTTATGTGAAAGCCCTAAGCTTTGCAGTATATAGATCACTCTGCTAAGAAGAGGACTAGAATAAAAGATGTGTCAGAAACTCAGGTAAACTACATTAGCTTCAGCCTTGCCAATTCAGCCCAAGAAGAACTATTGTCATTTTTGTCTCTGTAGATACAAACTTCTTCAATTTATATTCATCAAAATCTCTGGATACCTCTCTAGTAGACTGCCAGACAACTTAACTGGGCTTCAGATTCCTCATGCAGCATTTTTGATAGCTTCAAAGTAGGACTATTGGGCTGAGTATAATTCCCTTATATTCAAAGCAATTGGTAGGAGCATATCCATTCCATAGATTACTGTCTCTCCACATAAAAAAAGGGAGTAACTAATTTATTTCCCTGACAGAGTAAAGAATCTTTCCTTAAAATGAAATCCTGACTCTGTATTTAGGAAAAATATTTGCACAGTCCATTAAAAATATTTTGTATGTGAAGCGCAAGACAGCTGAGATAGGGCCAGATTCTTTCAACCTATCAAACAATGAGGAGCTACTCACAAAGATCACATTGCAAATACAGGAAAAGGATTATTATATAAACAAGTAGAGGTGGAAGGAGCTGCCCAACTGTGTTTTAAACTAAGATGAAAGGGGAACACGTTACCATGATGTTATGGATGTATTGATAGAAACTCTCTCTCTTACTGACCTTTATTTCACAAAACCACAGATCAACACAAAACTACTTCCATAAATTTAAAAATCAGAAAATCCATCTATTGCAAATAGTTCCTTACAGCTGGTCCAGGGGGTCCTGGAGGTCCCACGCTGTCTTGAGTACAGGTACAAGCATTTGGAAGAGCTGGGCATTTTGCTTCATCTCTCTGAAAATGCAATCGCAGCTATTACTGTCCTTTTAAAGAAAAGTACTCGGTGGCAGTTTACTTTTCTACAACAATAACAGCAAGACTCTCTATTATCCTGTTTTCAAGTACAAGTAAAACTCACAGCTAAGCAGTGGTTTCCAAATCTTTCTGCAGGACCTCTCACATCTTTCGCAAATTTCCTCTGAGAGCTATATGCTACACTAACACCAGAGGCACAGGCAAAATCAAATTCATATGCAATTTCTGTTGTTCTAATATTTATATCCATCAGACAATCAGCTGCACTGACAAAGAATAAACTAGATACTTTTTGAATGCCAATCTAGGAACAGATTAAATAGAAAAATAATACAACTGTTCCATTTATAATAACTAGGATCTTAAATATCACTGAAATAGAAAATATAACTGACATTTTTCTGCCATTCCTAAGGGATTCAGTTCTAGCATATCACAATCTTTCTCCCTTAGACAGAAAACTATGAAATGCAGTGTTGTGCACTGGCTGCTCTGACAACTGTGATTTAAATGTCTTGTCAGTATGAGGTATGGTACCAGGCTAATATTGATATTGTTAAATTTGCTGTTAATCACTGTTTTCTGAATTACTTCTGCTTCATTTATGCTTACCATAGAAGGAAGATCACAGCATCTGTCTCTGCTAGTCCAAACTGGACTGCATACAATGTCAAAATTCTGGATCTCTAACTGTAAAAGAAAGGACTCTTGAAAAATGCTAGACATGTTATTTATGAAATCTAGTGGCGTTAAAAATGACTGCTGAAACAATTTATTTCTAATGTATTTAACATTCAGACTCTCACTTCTTTTTTGACACTGACAGAAAAATTATTTAGAAATAATAAAAAATTTAAAACCAAGGCTACATAAGACTACAAGAACTTCAAGCACTGATGCTTGCTCTTATTCTGGAACAACAGCTAACCAAATAAAGTGATTCAAGAAATATTTTGCAATACTTCATGAATAATACTGATGAACTTCTACATCAGCTGCGTGCCTGTGCACTTCAACGTGAAATCTGACTGAAAAACTCTTGGACATGCTCTAAGGACTGCAGTCCTGGGGTCATACATTAATAGAGATTCATGTATGGAACTTTCCACTGACATTACCAAGGAAAGTTCTGCAGAAAGGCTGAAACGGGAACCTTAAGTGTGGTAAAAGCAGTTTCCTCTTTTTTTTCCAACCCAAGAGCTATGATCCTGTAGTTTGATACATTCAACCAAACATTTGGTGGTGAGCACCAAGAATCTTCTTCAGGCGTTAGGGTTTGCACACACGGGTCAGATTGCAGACTTAAGTCTTCTAATATGAAGCCCAGGTAATAGGATTGTACATTAAGTATAGTTAAATCATTAAGATAACTGGTGTTCCCTTCATAGCAGCAGCCACTTTTTCACTATAGTTTTATAGATCATAAAGCCAGCGGGAACTAGTCTGATCAGCCAGTACAAGACAGACCATAGGACTTGCCCGAATTAAAATCTGTTCATTAGAGTATGTCTTTTAGAAAACACAAGCAATCTTCGTTTAAGTTTCCAGTGACAGAGAATCCACAGTAAATGGATTCAATGACTAACTGCTCTCTCTATTAAAAGAAAAACATTTCTGCTCTTGTTTGAATTTACCTGACCACAACTTTCAGCTATTAGATTTTTGTTCTTGCAATTCTGCTAGAATGAGAAGTTATCAAGACCAAATTTCTCAGTTAAGTATATAGGGTCTTGCAGTACAGACACTTGAAAACTTTGGGTGCTATACTGGTTTCTTAGCAATCCTTAACCAATCTTACATCTCTAACTTCTTTCCTCAGAAAATTTCAAGGGCTTGCATTAAGGAACAGGTTAATCTTTATTGCTTACAGTTGCTGATCTCCGGTCGCCTTTCAGTAGTTTCCCGAGTATTTCATAGCCATCAGTTGTGACATTCCCAGCCTCCTTAATTGGTTTTTCCAGTATTTCACTGCAGTCAATGTAAATCTTAACATTCGATGAAGTTACAACAATATGGACCTGAAAAAAAAGTTTAATGTAATATTTAGAAAAGGCACATAGGCATATTTACTTTAATACTTTAACAGTACTTCACTATTTATGTAATACTCTTAAATTTTCTTCCTAGTAATCCTGCTTTACTTTCAACTGTTGGAAAAATTCAAACTCAAGGAAAGTCTAAGACACTAGTAACCTCTTTAAAATGTGTTGAAGATCAAGAAGATGAATACACAAGCACAGCTAAGAATTACTATTTAATATAATAGTTGAACTACAATGTTCTATTCAAAAAAGCTTGCTTGAAAATTGCTTTGAGGTGGCATAAAAGTAAAAAATAAAAAGATTTTTTGAGAGGAAGTTAATATAAGCTCTTCTTGTCCTCTTCTGACTGCTGGGACCACACAAGAGGTTTATGAGTCTGTTACTGCCCACTGGCTAGTAGACTCTCTGTAGTTCAGAGAGTAGATTGTTTCAGATCCAAAGATCCAGGGTTCAGTTTCCACAGATGACTCAAACAGAGGTATTAGTTACATTGAGATACAGGGAGTGAGCAGAGAAGCCTGCCCCAAAAAAGACAAAATAATGGAAGATGCAAGAGGAAAATTTCCATGAGAGAAATTTGGCTACAAAACATATGCCAACATAAGGGGAAACAGGGAAGAAGAGGAAGAGATTAATTACTGGAAATAAGGGAAACTTAGGAGGGAGAAATGAATGACCATAACAAAGGGAGAGAAAGTTTGCCAGGAGAAAATAATGAAGCATTTGGAGAAAACACAGAAAATCTTAAACAGAAGAACAAACAAAATTGAAGCAAAGATTACTATTCAAAAAATTTATAGCACGTATAGCAAATGTTATGCAAGTGAATTTCTTATACATCAATGAAAACAGAAGATATTCAGGAGTCTCCAAGAAAGAAACAAGTGTCTGACATTTTAGTAAATCTAATATGCAGTTGATGGAACAACATCCTAAGGCAACAGAAAGGTTTCAGTGGCTTTGCATACCTTACATTCTGCATATATTTTACATACAACATTATAACATCTATTCAATTGTTTAAATATCAATGCAGTAAAATCAGCAGTAAAGAATCCTTGAAGTATGTATTTATGTTTTAAAGTCTCTGTTATCACAGTACGTAGCCCTTCAGAAACATATTGCCATTTGATGACTGCTTGAAAAAAATGGCATAAAGTTGAATCTGAGATTCCCTTAAATGTCCTGAGTCAACAAGTGCCTCAACAATCTCCTGAGAATTTGTTCTTTTTCCCATATTAAATATTTTCCCATGTGGAGTTGTCTCCAAGGCATCAGCACAGCTTATCTAAAACTTTTTAAACATTATGTGCTTATGCTTTACATAATTGGAATTAAGACTTTTGAAACTGTCCTCATTTTTTGTCATCTGAAATTCAGTTGGCATCACAGTTTAATTCTCAGTGCTGTGGTACACAAGTGGTTTTTAATTAACATTCCCAACATTGTTCATTGACCTAATAAAAAATAGTGGAAAGATAATGGAGTATGTCCAAAGTATATTTTGGTATTATTTAGCAAACTGTCCACAAAATAAAAGAAGTACCATGCCAAAATTTTAAATTCATTATCATTTATACATCATATACTCAGTCATTTGATTATATGACTAAATTTTACAGGTTAACTAATGCATCAAAGAGTTTAAACTCATCACAGATGTCATTTACTAATTCTGAAAGCTACCCAATGTGCAAGTCCTTCTGCTGGAATGTTAAGTATTTGTCACAACTTAAATAAAGCAAATGACATCTGCATAGCAAAGGCATACTACTGCATTTTCATTTGCACACGAAATTTAGGAAGCGGCTGGAGTACCTCTCCTACGAGGACAGGCTGAGGGAGTTGGGGCTGTTCAGCCTGGAGAAGAGAAGGCTCCGGGGGGACCTTATAGCAGACTTCCAGTACCTGAGGGGGGCCTACAGGAAGGATGGAGAGGGACTTTTCACAAGTGTGTGTAGTGATAGGACAAGGGGGAACAGCTCTAAACTGAAAGAGGGCAGATTTAGATTAGATATTAGGAAGACATTCTTCATCACGAGGGTGGTGAAACACTGGAACAGGTTGCCCAGAGAAGCTGTGGCTGCCCCCTCCCTGGAAGTGTCGAAGGCCAGGTTGGATGGAGCTCTGAGCAACCTGGTCTAGCGGAAGATGTCCCTGCTCATGGCAGGGGGGTTGGAACCAGATGATCTTGAAGGTCCCTCCCAACCCTTACCATTCTACGACTCTATGAAAAGAATCATCAGTTTGAAAATGTTCAAACAGCAGTGACTGCTGAGCATTGTCTATCTATCCAAAGAAGCAGCGACTCCAGCAGCCAAAAATAAGCAGGGCTCTCCCAAGTCATTGACAGCTCACTGCTGATTTAATGCCAGCTCTGAATTCCAGCCTGAATCTCATGGTCCAAGCATAAATCTAATAAAAATATGCATTTAGTGTTTACAGTAAACAAAACATTTCTGTATTCAATCCTGCTACATTTTGTTTTCAACAAAATGTTAACAGAAACTTTCTCTTCAGCTTCTAACACACCAACATAAAGCATCATTTCCGACCATTTCCAGTGCCAGAAGGCACTGAGGTTTCAAGAAAACATGCTTTAATCTTTCCTTCTGGAACCCTTCTAAGATAAAGTTTGATGGTGTTCTGATCTACTGCTAAATGAACCACATCAATAAGCTGAGCAAATTATTATCCCATATGTACATCAGCACAAAGATATATACTCATTATTGAATTTCCTTTGGCTAACTACTGCAAAACTGCAATCTAAAAGGAAGTCTACCATGGTAGGAAGAAGAAAGTAGAAGTTGTCTGTCTCTCCGCAACATTCAGTTATAAATTTAATGACTGTCTCAGGCAGTCAGGATTTTTCCTATGGGACTTGCCAGATTCAACAGCTTTCAACATGGCTATGATACGCAAAAGTGTTCAAGTATGCCAAAGTAAATTTCACTGCACAGTTAGGTGTAGTTAATAGTGCTTCACCGAATGAGCCAGTAAGTCATCAAACGAAAACCACAAAAATGTTTGATATTTTGGAAAACATCTTCTTGCATTCTAAAGATTTGTCATTTCTTTGAAACTGGATGGCAGGACAAATTGCAAAAATATCTTCTGAAATGTGTTAATCTTACTTTCCTTCTGTTATCCAGCTGAAACTACTGCTATCCTTTATTCAGAGCTAATCAACCCAGCTGATACATAAGGCTTTCCCAGCACATGAGCTGAGGAATCCTGAGATGCTATTGTTAACAACCTGACCTATACAGCAATCTCAGTAATCATCCTGGAGAGAATCCAGAGGAGTCAGCTCAGTTACATGGTGAAAAATTCCAAATACAGCTCTTTAGATCAAGGCTACTCCAGTTACTTTAAATACTATCAAAATCTGAACTTTTATTTCCTTTCTGGAAAAAAAAAAAAAGAGTAGGAATGACACATTGTACTAAACTGATACATGGCTCATTTTTGCCTAAGCAATAGTCTCAGAAGCAAGAATACATAGTTCCAGAGCATTCAGACAATTTGCAAGTGGCTGTTACTCCTGTACATCATTTGGCATCTTAGGATTGCTTTCTGTTCATATGTATGCATGTATTTTATTATTAAAATAATACAAAATGTTGGATTTTATTTCCCTGTACTTGTTTTTCACCAGCAAGTGCAATGAACAGTTATACATAACCGCTAGTGTTGCCGGGGATGCAGGTTGTTCCCCATTTGCTCTGATAAATCAGCAGAGATTCACTCCAAGTGCTGTCAGCTAATTCTGCTCAGCTATATCACATTTAGAGGAACTGCAAGGAAAAATATGGCTCAATGTCAATTACATTAGCAGCAGACAGTTAAAACAGACTGCTGGCAGGACAGCATGTAGAGAGCTCCACACCACTGACCTGGAGTAGGGGAGTGTCAACTCCCACACTGATATCTAAAATGAGGTATGCTACATGCTGTTCTGTGTTTTAACAGCACTTCTGGATGATGACTCAACTTTTACACCAAAACAATATCTATCCTAGCCTTTACTGACAGTTTTTGTCACTCCAGTAGATTAACCTATTTCCTTAAAATTCAGTTGTCCTATTAACTTATTAAAAAAAAAGAAAAGAAAAAAGCCAAATGCCAAGGACAAAACAGAGACTGCCTAATGCAGGTGTGATCCAAGCCTACTTATAAGCATTAGTCACAAAGCCAGTGACATAAACATCTCTTCATATGTGCAAAAATAATTAGCCATTAAATAAATTATAAACACAAGAATAATTGGACATAACAGAGAAGCAGTTTGGGAAATTATCCTCTGTCAAATTCTGAGAAAATCAATAGCTTTTATAATACTGTGTGATTCTTGTAGTCATACATGTTTTAAACTGATAAAGTCACAAAACATTATGCTGGCACCAGCTAGCTTTCCCTGCTTTCAGCTTAGCAGAGTTAGGTTGACAGTGTGGCCTCCTGTATCAGCAAGTTGACAGAGGCAACCTCTTATCTATAACCTCAAAGGGATGTTGGTAATGACTAGTCAATGCAGGAGAGGGTATCGTAAAGAAAACAAATCTTATACTCCAGCCATATTTAGTCATCAGAAGAACACTAAACTAAACAGAAGGTAGATTAATGAAAAGATGAGAATATGCATGTCAGCTGACCAAAAATGTTGCAATTGCAACTCTCTCTCTTGCCCTAGACATATACACTTAACACAGCAGGAAAATATTTTTTAAATTGTGTTTTAGCAATATCTGTAGCCTGAGTCAAACAACTCCCTGTGACTAGAGGTAAGGAAGCCTGGCAGCATGAAGTAACATGTAAGGATTTCACTAGCAATTTGACAACTCATAAATCATGAGTTTCATTCTAAATTGCAAATAGGTTATATGGCCTTTTATGGACTCTCTGGCATTATTGTTGCTTCCTCTGTTAATATTACTTTGAAATATTTTTTTAGGCCCAGTGAATTTAAGCCAAAAGTATACCAATACACACGCATACATACAAAATATATACATATACATGCATGTATTATATTTGTTAAACATATAAATCTTATTCAATATGCTAATCGCTTCCCGAATTGGTTCCCTGCTTTTTTCTGTAAGTCAATAGCTACTTACTTTCTATGGCTATATCTTCTTTTTCTCTGAATGACTCCAGATCACTACACTCCCGCCCAGATCTCTTCTCATCACAAATTCCCTTCTTCTTTTTTTTTCCAATTTATCTTTTATTCTACCTCTTTCATGTGCCAGGAATCAGGCTATGATGTCTTGTTCAGATCTATCCCTCCACTGAAAAAATCTTGACAAATTCTTGACAAGATCTTGTCAAATGTCACATAGGTTCAAAGTAGGCCTTTAACGCAGTAAAAAAAAAAAAAGAGCTACAACTTCAGAGATCTTATTTTACACGGTCTGCAAGTCCCTATGTCAACTTACAGTACTATACAAAGCCTTGATATAACTGACTGTGACTTCTACTTGCTTCTCTTTTGTTTCAAAGAACAGCATTTCCAAAAGCAACATTCATGATATCAATCCTTTACCTTGTGGAAGCTTCCATAAAAGATTTTCTTTACTTCATCATTATCAAAAGTTACAGTTTGAACCTCTCCCCTTGTATCCTTGTTAAAGAATGACAGCACTTTGCTGGCAGCTGCAATAAATGAAAACAATACATAACTTTTTATACATATTACTGAAACCACCAGCCTAAATGTACACTTATGGATAAAATGTATTATACCACTCAAATGGGTAAACACAGATTACAGATGGTCTTACTGACCCATAAGTACATAGATGTATATTTCTTTGGTTTTAGATGAAAGCTGAAATGAAGCTTAGCTGAATTATTCTTAGCTGAAAAAATAATTGATGTACAAAGTAAAAAGAAAAAAAAAATTAAACTAAACATATATAATCCTTTTATCATGTAAGAATGCTTTGGTTTTGGAAATATTTGGGAAGAATGCATGCAAAGTAATGTATTATATAAATTCTCTGTGCAATAAGCAAAATAATCCTTACGGTCAAGCACAACTCCAACTTGTGGTTTGTAATCTCTGTCTGTAATCTGCCAAATTGCAAAAGGCTCGTTGGGGGATTCAGGCAGAAGACGGAATAACATAATGATAGTGTATGCCTGTGGCAGTCCCTCTGGGTGAATCTCCCTGTTAAGACAATATGAGGACATTTTTTCACATAGAAACACATGAGGAAAATGAGATCTTCAGCACTTGCTCTTTTTCAAAGAAAAGACATGAGAATAATAGGGAAACCACAGTGCTTAACAGAACTGGGCAATTTAACTACTCTCTCAAATAGAAAAGAACTTTGTGATAAAAATCCTTGGGTGACTTAACATGAACTCACAGCCTGTCTTCAATTGGCCCAGGCACCATGGTTATGGTGGAAGGCAGAATGTGACCAAGAACTCTTGGAGATGTATTCCTGTGGCAAGATTCTGCATAAACTACACATATTTTAAATTCCTTGATGACAAGTACAGAAAATAGGACCACAGCTTTATTCTTTTTTCATCTGGCCTGTTTTAGAGAAGCAACAGAAAACAGCACTTAACTATTGCCGCCCTTCAGGCAAAGATACAATGAAGGATATATTTAATGTATTCCCTGCAATTGGTGATGTACTTGAGCTCCACCTCACTCATCAGTGGCTGAGGTTTAGATTTATGATGTTCAGACTGCCAGACGTCAAAAAAACAGAAAGCAAAAAATAAATAAAAACATGCATTAAACGGCCTCCAATATTTTCTGAAGGGGAAGGGGGGAATGCATGAAGCGATCTGCAAGAAAGAAAGTAGCTTCTGCTTCTCCTTAACTGTCATAATGGAACTGAGAAGGGGATTTGGCCTCATGAGTATAAACATAGAAACCTTAAAATAAAGCGAGAAGCTGCTCTGTATTCTAGGCAAAGCTAATGCACCCCTACAGCTATGGACACTCTGCAATAATAGCACAATCACTTAATTCAACAACACCATGCAGCACAGTGCAAGAAAGAAAATATTACAATAGACATAGTGACACTGTTTAAAACTCGGATACCAAGTTATCTTGGATAAGGAAACAACTGCGCCACCAGGATCAGGATGCTTTTGTTGCTGTGCTGACCCACTCTGAAGTGATTTTTATTTTCTGGCTTCTCGTGAAAAGTGACTGCCCAGAATACTGTGGCAAGTGTACTCCACTTGTTACAGCAGGCAACAGACTATATATCACAACATTCTTAAAAAAATAAATAAATAGCAAGTCTGTTTTTTTATCATCTTACCCTGCTAAATGCAAGTTTAATCTTAATGTAAGAGAGTTGCAAAACAAGATCACAGTGATGGATTATCTGTACTTCCCTAGATCATAAAAATCCAGGCTGTCAGAGATCTATCACCCCCATAGCTACAATGGTACGACAATGAACTCAAAAGGTCCTCCAGTCCTTCACTTTTAAAGTTGTGAGCTGAAATGACTGGCAAAAAGAAATTTTTTCTTCATACACCTCAGCTCCTGTGCCTGTGAGTTGATCTTTACCCAGTCTGGCAGGACCGCAGAAGATTTCAAAGGCTTGTATGAAAAGAAGATTAAAATTCCTTAAATTTAATAGAAACAATGGGCCATCTTTAGGCATCTCCTCTGACTCAGAATGGCTTTTTTGAAAATTGCTTAAACAGATGGCAGAGGAACAAATGTGAAAAGAAAAAGAGAGGTACTGTTCTCCTCTTAGCAAAACTAACTGCTAACTGAGTTTTTTTGTGTGTGTGAAAACATCGGAAAGAATGACCATCTATTAGTCCTCTATACCCAAGCTCTAAGACCACAGGCCCTTGAAAACTCCATTCCATTTGCCAAATACAGCAACTCAAGGAGCGGAGAAACTACCCTAAATCAATGGCGCCAATGTGCTGCCTACTGCAGTGTGAATGATCCCCCTGCAAAAAGTCGTGCTTATCCCTCCATATTGAAACCATTTGCCTCCAGCAATGTGGAGCTTGTTGTACTAAAGTAGTTGTTGTTCAACTGCCCAAGGACAAACTCTGGATTATACGCAACTCAAATAGTTAAGAAACATAATCTCCTAAAAACAACACTAAGCAACTGGATTAATAGTGAACAGATCACAATGGAAGAACTAGATTAGTATTTAATGAGAACAAAGATAAATGTTCTTTGGAGTATATTTCTTGGAGTCCAATAAAAAGAACATCTAATAAATGCATCGTCCATAAGATATTAATGCTATCATCTACAAACTCTATTAATCCTTTCTCACCTGCTTGCCCTAAATAAGTGTCTTCCAGGTTTACTTACCGTATTGGCTGGCTGACAAAGGCATTTTTGTGGAGTCTATATGCTACATAGCTTGGGAAAGAGCCTGATTCCAGCGATACACCTTGTACAGAAGCAAAATGCTTCTCTGTCAGATTATATGATTCCAGCATCTTGAAACCTTTAAATCCGGAGAGAAAATAAAAAATAAAAACACTGTAGAGCTGTAAAGACACAAATAAACCTATGCCAAAATATTAGACAGTTACTTACCAGGTGAAGTATATCCCTCCAAGTAAATAAGAGGACAAGCTAAAAGACATGAAGCAACATATAACTCAGAACTATAAAACCTAACAGGATATGAACATATATATACTTCAGAAAGCTTTATGACCAAAAAGTCTGTGTTATTATTAATTATCAGCTAACTTTTGTCATACCGCATTCTGCTCTGTGGTAGATGTATTGTTAAAACCTTCACTCGTTACTTTTAGTAGGATATTCCTACCGTGACAGGTTGTATGTCCCCCCCAGATGAACCCCCCAAACATTTTAAAAGTCTTCTTCATAAGAAGAAAGGAGCACAATGACACAGTCTTTCCATAAATGTTTAAGGCATGAGTCAGGCTGCATAACAGCTGTCAGATTCACAAGGAAAAACTGCAGATTTATATGGCTCCTCAGGAGCCAGCAGATGAGGGAGTCAGGGAGTACACAGTTGCACATGACAGTCCTGAGAATGTCTCATTTTTGCCATAGAAGGATTTCACTTGAGTAAACAACTGAACTTTATTTAGATTATTTTGAAACAGCATCACACGCTATAGCTGCACCTTTTCAGCATCCCTAGACCAGTGGTAAATAAGGCACCTGTTATGCCCCCCTGGTTGACATTAGGCATCATTCTACTTCAAGAACAGCAGTTCACACTGACTGTTACTCTGGTTTTGTTATACCTTTTGTTATACCAGCACTTTCGAAATGTGAGACAAGATTACAGAAAATATAATACCTACTTCAAAACTTTAAAAAAGTAACTTGCTCCCTTAAACTATGTCCAGATATTATAAAACCCAACTTTTATATATGAACAATTCTTTTGATGTACCTTAATTGGGATGGCAACTGTAGTAGTATATAAGCAAATGTATTAATTTGGGAAAATGGAAAACGATGTCTTCTACTCACTTGAGGTAGCTGTCTCACACACAAAGGTGACGAGGTTATCTTGAATCTTTTCAAAGGCATCAAAGTCATCAACAATAAATACATGACGCTCACTGGGCTTGCTGGCAATCTTGGCCAGCTCATTGTAATCTACATCAGCCACACCAACCACAAAAACACTGAAGCCTGTAAAAATCACACTTGTTACTTGAAATGTAGTAAACATACATCACGATTCTTCAAGTCAATATTTCACAAACCATCACTATCATTGATCTCTCAGTCTCTACTTAGTCTTTTACCTGGCCTTCACTACGAGTATACATTCTGAACATCCTCAGGAGAGATTGAACTGATTTTTGCATATTTCTTTCAAAACTTTCTCCTCCTTCCTTCATTCATTTTTGTTGGGCATTATCCAATCTCACACAGCCTTGACTACATAGTCTCCTCACTCTTTCATACAAAATGTACAATTTTCTTAACTCTACAGCATCATAAATCTGTTCTGTGTCCAAAATCTCTGTGCAGACTATTAGTTATGCAGTTCTCTATCAGTTGCTATCTGTCTCATGCATTTCACGCTTCTCAGTTTCTCTTTCACTTTCTTAGGGTGGTATTCATCTCACCAAATTTTACTTTCTCAGTTAGGAACAAGTCTAAGCTAGTTGTCTAGTCTTCTTCTATAATCAACAGACAGACAGAGGCAGATTCAGAATGCAATTCATCTCTCCTCCCTAACACACTAACTTCAGGACAGAAGAAGCCGTGGTCTGTAGATGTTTATCTGTTGCTCTCTTCACTAGCCATAAATGGACCCTACATGACAACCTTAGACTAGACATTTAGTTGTTAGATGGCTTAAGGCAAATGAGAAGAACCCAGACCCTGGAATTTAATCATATCACCAGGTGTAACAGCATAATCTCTTCCTTTGTCATGGTGATTTTCCTCTTCAAATCCTTAAATTAGCATCTCCTCCTCTTCTATGACAAATTTTTGTTTTCTGCTATCTTCTAGCTTTTACAGAATTTTGTGTCTGACTCATTTCACCCATTCCATTCTCCACCTAAGCCTCCGTGTGATAATTTGACCTCTCTTTGCCATACCAGAAAACACTGAAGAAAAAAAAACATCACCGCACTATTCAGCACTATATAGAAAAAAATCTTCCACAAAATTTCATTGACAAGAAACAGGACAGACACTGCAAATGCTGGCTGGAGGCTGAAAGCAGAATCTACATTTATTGCAAAAGATAAAGCTACCAGTATTTACATTTTTAATTTTTCAAAAAGAAGATAATTTTTCCTCTGTAGCTAGTTCTGGTGAAGTTTTGGCTGAAATACTCTGTCCAGCTTTGCGCATGACATTTAAGATGCAAAGAAACCAAAGCAAGCAGAGAGGACAGAAAAACTGATAAGAGGTTTGGAAAGTGTGATCAACATAAGGTTGAAGGAAATGGTTTTGTTTAGTCTAGAAAAGAGAAGACAGAAAGAGGAAATGACAACAGGCTTCAAACATGAAGGCCCTTTACTGTGGACAGTCATCAACTGCTTTCCTGTTTAACTAGGTAAATGAAAAGAAGACAATAGTTTGAGTAGTCTGAAGAAACATTTGGGTGAAATGTGAGGCAAAGCTTTCCACCTATTAGGGTATTCAGCACTGAAGCAGATTATTCAAGGAGACTGTAGACATTTTTATCAATAGGGTAGCCAAACATCTTTAGAAACCATCTAGACAGAGCTGGTTCCTTCAGATCACAGAGGCAGAGAAGATGACCACTTTGTTTACATGTCATTGATTTTCATAAGTAAGTACAACACCTCTTTACTCAGGAAACAGGATTCCAGGTGGTTCCTGCACTGAAATGCAAAACTGCTGAGTGCAGGGACAGGAACAGATTAGTAGATTCACATAAGCCAGATTCAGCAAATCTGAAACGGAAGTGCAATGCTTCTCAGCTCAAAAGGCAATGAAGGAGTCGTTTCAGGCCCAACTCCTCCAAAAGCAGTTACTTTAGCTGGAGATCCTGGTTTTAACTGATTTTACTTGGTTTATACCAGGTAAAACCTAAAGATCAAAAAGCCAGGCCTATGACATGAAGAGCACCAGCATGGAGTACAGTTACTTCACAATGATCCCTGGGGTTCACAAAGCAAGGAGAGAAAGAAGTAACCAAAAGTCATGTCTATGAAACAGTTACGCAGGAGGAATTACTTGAAAGCTTTGGGAAGCCACATCCTTCCCCAGAGAAAAACCTACAGAAAGAAAAGTTAAGTCTGGTCCAGAAAGTCTAAATTCTTTAAATACTTTTGTGTTTTTCCCAAATACTTAGAATTCATTTCTGAGGCTACAAACGATGAGTAAAGGTTTTCCAGATAACTGAAGCACCACTTGTAACTGCATTGCTTAACAAATAAGGAAACGAAACAGCCAGGTACTGTGAATTGCTTACCAGAGTGCTGTATGACAGTTGCTGCTTTCCTCACCTCATCCTGAGACCGACCATCTGTGACAACAACAAGTACCTTGGGAACACCTCGCCTCATGCCACTCTCCCAAGTCAAAACCTTTTCTTTGATAAATGTTAGGGCTTTGCCTGCAATTGCACCATGAACAAGAGTCAGCCGTATGGTCCACAAGAGAAGAAATCCCTTACTTTACTTTGAAAGAGCAACAGCCACATAGCTAAAACAGTAGAACATAAAACCCCAATTCATTAGCCATGCAATATTAGGAGAATGAGGCAGTTTCTGAAAACTTTTTATCTTAAAGAAATATAATTACTGCTTAGAATTACCTGTCCTTGTGTTGCCTCCTCTGTACTGAACATTTTGAAGAGCTCCCAGGGCCTGGGCCTTGTCATCAAATGTATTCAGTTTAAATTCAGATTTTGCCTCATCACTGTACTGCACAAATGAAACCTGAAATGGAATATATCACAGTGTTCAGTCTCATACCTCGTCATTCAGAGCAACTCTGTCCACTGAAATATGTATTGTGGTATATTAGTAGGCATTAAATAATTGAAAAATCTTTTTCATATATGTACCATTATGCACACACATACATATTTACATACATAGATATCATCACAGCAATGTGCACACAACACTTTTTCTTTCTTTCTCTTTCATGTATGAAATGCGACAGAACTTTAAATACATATGACTAAATTATTGCTATTGCTATGATGCAGTATATATAGTGTCTATTCTCTGCTGAGCAAGATGCACAGTATCTACAAAACCTCTTCCAGGTTTTTGGGGTTTTTTAGGAAATACAAAAATAAATTGGCAATAGAGTGTCAATAAAGTTGGATATATACAAAATTGTGTACTCTCTTGCCTTAAATACTGGAATACAATCAGTACATGTTTATTCTGAAATAATCTTAAAATATTATATATATACTTTATTTTGTTCCTTTTGATAACCTGCAAAATTGCAATATTACAGTATACTAATTTCATGTTGAATAGACATCTCTGTATGTATATATTCACATTTATTGAAGTAAATTCCCCTTTTTAAATGATTAATATCCAATTCAAAACCCGAGATTGTTGCAACTATCGCAAGAGGCATGCGACTTAGATAATTTATTAAATATTAGCATTTGCATGTCTCTGTCACCTATATTAGGCCTTCTCTAGACACAGCAAACTATGAGAGGAATCTTTTCCTTAAAAATGTGTAGAGAGTTAAAGATAGGGAATTAAAGAGCTAAAAACATGCCTAGAAGATAAAAGGTAGTTCATGAACAATGTACATAGTTTTTATAGTTACTGGGGAAAATTATTCCCACAATCTCCCACAAAAAAAAACCAAACAAAAAAAAACCCCCAAAAAAACCCACCCACAACCCTTCAGCCTTCTAACCAAGGAAAATGCATTGCACATGCAGGTCATTGCAATGCTCCAGAAATACCTTGTATGAAAATCTCTCACATCCCACATCATTCACCTCATCTAGTGAAAGAGAAATGGTTGTGGGAACCTAGACAGTGATTTCATCCAGCTTTCCATAAGCAGAAGAAAACCAGTAATGGTGCAAGGCTTACAGTAAGAAGCTTGGCAGGAAACATCATTGACATAACTATGATCAGCTCAGAAATCCTGAAAGTCTATTCCTCGTCAGCTATTACTGTTTACTCTTTGAAAATGCATTAATTCATTAAGAGGACTAACTTTACACCTTTTCATACTTTCACTGTGCCCACTGTGGAGTGAAACCACGTAGTCTGTCTTTAAGATGGGATGAACAGACTTCTGCACGTGTCTGTCTCGAAGGCAATCTGCCTACTTACTGCAGAGGGATGCTAGGCAGCTCAGCAAGGCTAATAGCAAGCCAGCTGGACTCTACATGCACCAGACTCCTTTCTTGCATTGAGAAATTAAAACGTAACCCTCACTCAACAGTCAGACTGACCCCAAAACAGATTTCTGATACGACACAGATAAAACCTAGCGCATACCAACTAGGCAGTGCACCAGTTGTTGATGCCCTATACAAAGAAACAAAAATATAAAATTAACCATACATCACCCCAATTTCCCTGCCTGGAGGATTCCCACACACTACAACTTCTGTCTTTCAGAATAGTAACGTCTCAGGATAAACTTGATTCCCTCTGTATTTACAAAATGACCAATATATTTCATAAATAATTATACACGCACACACGTACACACTTGTTCTACAACAATCTAATACAAAAAAAATAACAGCATTCTGGAAGAAAGAAAAAATCAGATGTAAATTTAGTAATCCAGCTTCATCTTCAATTTCCCTCCAAGATGTACCCAATGAAAGTAACAAGCCTACCTGGATTCCAGCAGGATTAATCAAGTCAAAGGCTCCTACTGTATTAAACACAAATTTCACTACTTTGTTGAAGTTATCATCACCAATACTCCAGGAAGCATCAGTCAAAAACACTATGTCTGCTTTGGCACCTCTGCACACTGAAAGACCAGGAAAAGGAACACTTTAAACACATCAATCATATCACTGTGAAATAAAGAGCATTGCTTCAAAATTTGAAAATTCAAGAATGGCAAACATTCAGCAAATTTCTATTACCATGCAGACAACATGGCAGATGGCTAATGCTCAACACAAAATCATTTATTAAAAATTTTCAAAGAAAAGTTCAAGAAATGAGGAAGAGATCAAGAATCAAATGTAAATGATTTAAATTAGTTTTTTCTTGGCAGCTACCATAAAACGTAAATTGTCTGCTGAGGGCAGACAGACTCACAGACTTGCTGCAGAGCTACAGAATATCATGAATTTTTGTCCTAAATGTATGCACCTTGTTGTTCTAGACCAGCAAATGTTGAAGTCTAGTAAAGCTCAACAGCAAATGGATGGCATTAGGAAACTGATCTCAAACTTCATTTCCCTAAAATGCCATGCTAGTTTTAAATCTATTTAAATTTATGAAAAAAAAGAATTGAACTCTGAAGCAGTGCAGCAACTACATAAAAATACTGAATAATTTTACAAATAAACATACCATCCCGAGCTGGAGGGATCGTGGGAGGTGGAGGAGGAGTAGGTGGCGGAGTTGGTGCCTCTGTAGGTTTGAGAACTGAAATGAAATTAGAATTATTTAACTCCAGATAAATTATTTCAGTCAAGGCAAAACTCTAGATTATGTGTTATATTACCACACAGAAATATTCTAATCTTTTCTCACTAACCTAAACAATGTATAATTGGCAAGGAAAAACTTCTTGTGTTACAAGAATAATGAGATTGTAGCTATTGTTAAAATAAAGGTACATGATTTCATTATAACAGGAACACTTTTGCATGAGCTGAGTAACACTGCACTCGGATGAAAAATGGATGCATTATCAAAGTGCTAGGAAATACTTAGTTTGAAGA